AAATATATCAATAGTAATTACTTTCAAGAAAAATATAAGTCACAGTTGTCAGAATGTCCCAAACTGTACCAGAAGATACTGCATACCTTTACAGGGTATTATAATTTCAGTCAAAACCTTGAAACTTAGTGAAAATATCATTTTCGACCCCATAAATCATATATATTCTTGATCAGCATCAACAGGCGAATCTTTCTAGCCATCTTCGGCAAAAAAAATACATTTTCAAAAAATTTTCGAAATTTTATTTAGGTTAAAATAGACACAAATTTGACAAAAAAAAAAATTTTTTTTTACATTTTAAATAGAGTATGCAGATTTATTAACCTGATCAAAACTAACATAGAACTGCTTTCTGAATTAAAATTAATGCATTTTTGACTGAGTTATGAATTTTTTAAACTTTAATTTTTAGGAAAATGTGTCATATAAAAATATAGTTAATATCGATTAAAAAATGGGATTTTAATTTTAGTCAGAAGCTAAAAACTTAGTGAAGGACTCATTTCCGACCCTATAAATCATATATATTCTTGATCAGCATTGACAGGCAAATCTTTCTAGCTACCTTTGGCAGAAAAATACATTTTCAAAATTTTTTCATAATTTTATGAGAATTAAAATTGACAAAAATGTAACAAAAAATTTAAAAATTTTACATTTTAAATAGAGTATGCAGATTTATTAACCTGATCAAAACTAACATAGAACTGCTTTCCGAATTAAAATTAATGCATTTTTGACTGAGTTATGAATTTTTTTTAACTTTGATATTTAGAAAAATGTGTCATATAATAATATTAATAAATATATTTTCAAAGAATGCGAATAATCAATAATCATTCTAATCTATAAAATAAAAATATCTATATATGTGGAAATCGCTTATTTTCAACTCTAAAATATATTCAATTATAAAGAAAACTGCTCAGCATTAAAGACTAAGTGTTGGCTGTATTGCCAAAAATATTTAAAGATTACCTGCAGCCCATGTCTGCGTATCGATATGAAACCGCATATTCCTGAAATTACATCCTTCGGCCATATGCATATATGTATATACATTCATATGTACATATATGTATGTATATATCTGCGGTGACCACAAATCCCAGTTGATTTTCCAGGAGGACGAGATGCGAGACAGATCGGATTTCGGAGTTTTTCCCCCAGTGCCATGACCTGCCGCCAAAATGAAACGTTTGCGGTTTTACTTCATAAACAATTTGTGTATATTTCATAAATATTTTTAAACAAATTTTCGGTGTCCTCTATTTTTTTGTTTCTGTCCTGTTTTCTGTTATTGTTGGTTCGCTGCTTTGTTTGCATGGCGGTTGCCATGTTTTATTTGCGGGAATTACACTTTTTCGCTTTTGGGGCGAGAAAAGAACGCTGCAGCCGCAAAGGATCAACTTTTTTTTTACATTTTTTGTTGCAACCCAAAAAATGACGCGAAATATGGCAGAAAGTCAAATGCATATGTACATATATATATTTTATATATGTATTTGGATGACTATGAGGTGTATGCAAGGGGTTCATTTTTGGCGGAAAATTAGTGATGTAGAGTAAACCCAAGGCCTTAAGAGAGATAGAGAAATAGAGAGATATAGAAATAGAGAGATATAGAGAAAAAGAGAGATGGAGAGATAGAGAGTTGGAGATTTAGAGAGTTTGAAAGTTAGAGAGTTAGAGAAATATAGACGAATATAGAGATAGAGAATTAGAGAATTAGAGAGTTAGAGAATTAGAGAGATAAAGAGTTAGAGAATTAGAGAGTTAGAGAGTTAGAGAGTTAGAGAGTTAGAGATTTAGAGAGTTAGAGAGTTAGAGAGTTAGAGAGTTAGAGAGTTAGAGAGTTAGAGAGTTAGAGAGTTAGAGAGTTAGAGAGTTAGAGAGTTAGAGAGTTAGAGAGTTAGAGAGTTAGAGAGTTAGAGAGTTAGAGAGTTAGAGAGTTAGAGAGTTAGAGAGTTAGAGAGTTAGAGAGTTAGAGAGTTAGAGATTTAGAGAGTTAGAGAGTTAAAGAGTTAGAGACTTACTAAGATCGAGAGCTATAGAGTCAGGAAGTTATGGAGTTAGAAAGTTAGAGATAAAGATCTATAGATATATAGATAGATATATAGAGATATATAAGAGGTAAATGGAGAGACAAATAGAGAAGACAGAGAATTTTGATGTTTTCTTTTCAAAGTATGAGCAAGATAATATGTATCTTTATTTTCTTACCCAGATCCTGTAAAATTGTTTCCTATTTACATAGCGAGAAAAAAGGGAATTTTGCTGGTAGAGAGAATCTGTGCTGTTCTAATGATTTTCGAAAAAGGAGAGGGTATTTCTGGTTCTCATCCCATCTTCCTGTAGCTTTCGCTATTATTGCAGTTTTCCTGTATCCGTGCCCCCGGCAGCCATGTGCGTTTGTTTACACGCAGGGCTCACGGGACCACGCAGGACACACGAACACACACACACACACTCCCTCACTTACAGTGGACACGAAAGTTGCAATAACCACCCGCTCTTTGCCCACCCATCCTGCCCTCTGTTGCCCTCCCAGGGGTCATGTTTATCTTGCGCTTACACTGGGAAATTCCCTTAAACTTCTCATTCGTTGGCAGTGTTTTGGTCTGTTGCAGTTTTTCCGCACAGTTGGCTCCCCAAAAGTATTTTATTGCCCATGCACGCGTACACAGTTTTACCAGTTTTCATGGCAATTTGTCCTCGGCCGCGGGGGTTGGCGATGAGGTGAGGAGGTCACAGTGTTCAGGAAAATGTTCGGAAAATCCCCCCGGAAAATGTTCAAAATGAGAAACAGTGGTAAGGGAATGCAAATGTTGCACTTCATTTGACAAGGGCGACACGGGACATCTGAGCTGCCATTTTAATATCTGTGCAATTTCATAGCTCTTTTTTTTCTCTTAAAAATTAAAACATTTTGTACCTTGGTTTTTTAAATTTTTATGGAATGTTTCCTTTTTTCTTATTGGAGTTTATCTTCATGCTCCTTTTATTGGCGGAAAATATATTTGAAAATGAAGAAAAGCTTTAAGCTTTTCTTGCACAATAGGTGCTGTTAGACGCCTTGCTAGAAATGTTATTGTTTTGAATTAGAAAAGTTAATAATAATTAAAGAAAATATTATACAAATAATATTTATACCCTCCTGGGTATATCAGTTAGTTTTAGAATTTTAAATGGCTGAATTTCTAAATATCTCGGCGATATTGGGGCTTTATAAAGGAAGATCCAAAATTGTCACCCGCTTAAATGTTTAATAAACCGTCCTATATAACTTTTGAATTCTACTATAAAAATATTTAATAATTTAGCAATCTATAAAAGACATTTAAATAAAAATTCAATTTTTGTTTAATTTTGCAATAATTTTAATGATGTAGCCCTTTTAAAAAATTAAAACTGGGAAAGTTAAAGTTTTTTCCTAAAAATTGTACGACCGTTCCTAAGGCAGCTATATGATATAGTCGTCCGATTCGGCCAGTTCAGATTTATATACTAGTTAGAGTATATAGAAGACCACCACCAAAGTTTCACTTAGAATGGAAAATGGGAGTTTAGTTCGCGTAGAAACGGACAAACGGACAGGCAAACGGACACAGCTAGATCAACTCGGCTGTCGATGCTGATCAAGAATAAATGTAAATACTTCATAGGGTCGGAAAATCTTAGTATAAAGCGTTTTTTTATGTATAAAATATATAGCAAAAATATATACATATACAAAATATATACAAACAAATATTTAAAAGTCAGCTAAAGAAATATTAAACCAATCTTGCTTATATTAATATTATTATAAATAAATAAATAAAAAATAAATAAATACTTTAACAGCAACTGTTATATTTACTGTTAATCTTACAAAAGCTATTCACAAAAGCTCTTTCCCTCACAGCCTTTTGGCCAAGTTAACAGCAAACTGAAGCTTTTAAGGCTCTTCGTTTTAACCACCCGTGAAATAATTACAACTAAAGAATTTTTGATTCTGATTTTAGATTTTTGTTTCATTTCTTTATTTTCCGTTATGCTTTTAGTTTGCTTTTGTTACTGGCAAAAAAATTATGAAAAACTAAAAAAACACACTTTCGATAAATACTTTGACGGCGTTACTTTCTTTTTGTTTTTAATGTAGTTGTTTTTACCTAACAATAATATGACAATTATAAAATATGCTTAATTTATTGTTTTTACAGCTTACAACTAAAATTTCCTTTTAAACACATTTTGCCCAATAACTTATAGTAATAATAATAATTAATAACAGCGTTCTTTAACTTATAAACGATAGTGGTGAGAGTTGAGTGAATAAAGAAGGAACAGAGTGGAAATTGTAATGAAAAAAATTCTATTCTTAATGATGAAAAAAACAAAAGCATTTTTTCCAGTACGAGAAAAATTTTATGAATGCACAAAAAACATTTTTTTAATACATAAAAAATAATGTTTTTAATGCAGTAAAATATATATATATTATTTGTTGATGGTTTTTTAAGTTAAATTAAATCCATAAAACGGATATTTAATATTTTCTCATACACACACATACATATATTTCGATATATACATACACTGCTTTCTGTTTCTTTATCTTGTTTTGGATTTTTGTATGTTTTTAACATAGTTCTTTATTCCTTTCATCTTTTTGAATGTGTGTATTTTAGTTTAGTTTGTTTTTGTATTGATTTTTTAGTTGTAGCTTGTAAGGATTTGGAAATTGTTTAATTATTATACACTTGTTTTCGCTTAGGATTAATGCTGACGATACCGAATCTTTAGCAGGAATTATTGAGAAGTCGAGCTTCTCTATATCCTTTTAGTTTTGGTTTTCTTTCTTTCCTTTTTTTTAAGTTAATTTGAAACGCAAGAAATTTAATTTCTTGACTGACTTCTTGTTATAATTTCTATATATATAAAGAGCGTAGGCGTAGACAAAAAAAATGAAATAAACATAATATTTAATACGAAATGTATGGGATTTGTGTATGTTTCGTTTGTGTTCTATCTTTTTTTTTGACAATAAAATGTAATCAGTTCTTTGAGTTCTCATTTTGTCCAAAAACGTATTTGATGTAATCCAAGCAGCTCATCATATATATATAATAAGTATATATATATAGATAGATATATATATATTATCGTCGATTATTGTTTACGTTGGCATATAATGCCGAGAAATTTGTTTAAATTTAAGCCTACTTAGTAACTAATCCCTCTCTCTCTCTCTCTCTATACGCCTCCCTCCTCCCTCTCACAAAAGATAGGAGATACAGAAAAAAAAAAAAAAAAAAAAAAAAACAAATAAATATTAGCTTATTACTCCTAGAACCTCAAATAATGTACAATGTTTCTCTATGTCCTTCGGCTGGACCTTCCTCAGAATGGCGCATCGCCCGCATAGGCCCAGGGATGCACCCATGGCGCCGATGGCGGCGGCGTTGGCGGATATATCGTCGGCGATGGCTGCCCATGTTGATGATGATGATTTGTTGCTGCCGCTGCATTGGCCACTGCTGCTGCTGCTGCTGCTGCCGCCGCTGCTGCTGCAGCTGCATGATGATGATGGTGGTGATGATGATGATGGTGTGCCGCTGCTGCTGCCGCCGCCGCCGCTGCTGCAGCTGCTGCATGATGATGATGATGATGATGATGCTGATATGGTGCCGTAAAGGATGCCGCCGCTGCTGCTGCTGCCGCTGCATTGCCATAATAGGAGGCCGCAGCTAGGGCAGCAGCTGCCGCCGCCGACGATGTCGGCGATGTGGAGGAGGAAGCAGTTGTTGTGGCGGTGGTGCTGGAAGAGGCGGCTCCGACGGCGGGCGATAGGCTGGCTATACCAGCGGCACACACACTGTGCCTTCGGTGCATTATATGTCGAGATGGTGCCGCCTGCTGTTGCTGTGAGGTTCGCGTTGCCAGTCGACGTTGCTGCTGTTGTTGCTGATGTTGTTCCTGCTGCTGTTGCAGTTGTTGCTGCTGCTGCTGCTGCTGTTGTTGCTGCTGCTGTTGCTGCTTCTGCTGTTCTTGCTGCTGCCGTTGCTGCTGCTGTTGTTGCTGACGCATTAGCTGCTGCTGATGCTCCCAATCGGGCAGCGGTGGACTCAACATACTGGCCGCCGCCTTGCCATACAAATTGGACAAATAGGCATGCTCGGCCTCGGCCATCTTTTGGGCTGCCGACTTGGCATTCTTGGTAATCGTTGGCTCTGCATGTTGGCGCTTCTTTAGCAAACGCTGCTGCTCATGCTGCAGGTGTGCTGGTGTTGTTGCTTGGTGCAGTGGCTGTGACTGTGGCTGTGCTGGTTGTTGGTTGTGGGAGTACAACATTTCGTATGTGTTGCTTATGTGTGTAGAAGGATGTAGTGAGGACTTTTGCTTTTGCTTCTGCTGTTCCAGATCCTGTTGTGGTGCCGGTGGCGGGGCCAAGGCTCCCCCTCTGCGTCTGCTTAGTATATCAACGCTAAGGTTTGCTGGCGGCGTCAAGGCTCGTCTTCGCTGCGAACCAGGAGCCGTCCCAGCTGATCCTAATGATCCTGATGATCTGGTATGGACTGTAGTTGCTCCTGCTGGTGTTGCTGCTGCTGCTGCTGCTGCTGCTGATTTTACGTTTATTGTTGTTAATTGTTGTGGCAAATGTTGTGCTCCCCAGCTTAATTCCTAGCTTGTGCGCGTCCTCTTGGCCGGCGGCTGCTCCGATTGGCGCGTCATAAATGTCAGCTGTGTCATATATTTGATTATATCGCGCACCTGCACCAGCGGCATATTCTCATTGTAATTCCGATCAAACTCCATTAGGATTTGCACCTGTCGCCTGTTGGTGATGGTAAAAGAATATTATTAGTTTCGATTTATTTGTATATATAGTATATATAACTCACCGATTCGCCTTGTAGAGCTCCACGCCCAGCGCCTCGATCAATCGCTTGCAGTGATCCAACGGCACCGATGGAAAGAAGTTCTTCTGGAACTCAATGAGGGTCATCAGCTGCTCGGAATCATTGTAGGCCTTCATATTAATGCACGGCACCAGATGCTTATCCACGCACACCTTTTGCACCTTGTACGGTGTTAGGTTCATGTTGTTCGTGGGTATCTCTGGGATTATGCACAACCTTTGGGCACTATCCGCCGCAGCGGCTGCCGCCAGTGCCGCATGCCTTTGCAGATGCATCGAGGCACTGTTCGAGGAGCCACCTGAGCCCGAATTGGATGAGTTACCAGTGGAACCATTACCAGTGGATGAGGAATTACCGCTACCAGCATTATTATTACCACTTGATGAATTATTACCATTGGCTCCACTGGAATTTGAATTGGAGTTACCGGAACTGCGTCCATTTTGCTGGACATGCTGGGCATGATGTGCCACTGCGGCGGCAATACGCTGTTGCTGTGCCACGGCCGCTGCTGCTTGTTGCTGCTGCTGGGCCACCACGGCGGATGAGTGCTGTTGCAGGTAGGCTGCCGAGGCTGCCAGTGACCTTCGAGAGGAGGACAGATCGATAACGTCAGTGGGTGTAACTGTGGATTGTTGTGTGCTGATTGTGGATTGTGTGTTATGGCTATTACTATTAGTACTATTGCTGTGGCTGTGTGACTGACGACCATAATTGTTGTTGTGGCTGTTGTTGTTGTTGCGACGCCCCATTCCCGCAGGATTATGATTATTACCATTCCCATTCCCATTCCCATGATTATTCCCGGCCAGCGAGAGTATGGCCATGGGCAGGCTATTGCTTTTGGTGGAACAAATCACACTCTTTTGGCGACCACCGCCGCTGCTGCTACTGTTGTTACTGTTGCTCCCGGCAGCTGTTGCACCTCCTCCGCTAATGTTACTACCTATTCCTATACCTAATCCTAAACCTAAACCTAGATTGGCGCTTCCACCATTACCGCCGCTACTCAATGGACTCGCTGCCGTATTGGATGCACTGGAGCTGGAACATGAACTCGAGGGCGAGTGGAGAAAATGTCCTGGTGGCAATTGTGGCGTTATTGTCACATTCGGATTGGAGGCTAAGGTTAGAGTGGCCACATTACTTAGTCCGGCTCCACCCATTGCCGGTGACATTGGCGGTGATATATACGATGGTAGCATGTGACCACCACCTCCAGCACCTGCTCCTCCGCCTCCGCTGCTATTATTTGTTTGTATAAATGTCGAGAGATCCGGATTGGCCAGCACCTTTTGGATAACCGCACGCATCTCATCCGTCATCACAGTGCACTTTTTGGCAAAATCCTCCAGGGCCTGCGTGGAGTTCAAGGGTATGGTGGTGCCACTGGCCACTGCAGGAGGAGCTTCACCTCGACTGCTGCTACTGCTACTACTTCGGCTGCCGCTCTTGGTCAGACTTATCTCAGCAGAACCACCGCCATCGGAGATCAGGGGCGGCACAATGGGTTTCGTAAATGTAACCACATTATTGTTGTTATTATTATTACTCATTCCCTTTGACTTGTTCACTTTATTTGGATTATTGTAATCCAGCATAGTGATTAAATCCGTGTCTAGGGGTAGTGAGGGTAATGCGGGAAAGTTCTTATTGCTGCCTCCGCCTCCTCCAGCTCCTCCTCCACCTCCTCCTAGGCCTGGTGTATTGCCACCACCTCCTCCTCCTCCCTTTAACTGCTGACTGAATAGCAAACGCTGGGCGGGTGTCAGTTGATTCCACAACGCTAGATTGGTGTAATCCGCACGTGTCGATGGCAGGTTGTAGTTGAAGGAAGCACCTGTTCCGGCTGTTCCTGTTCCACCGGCTCCTGTTCCGCCAGCACCAGTTCCTGTTCCACTGCCTGCATTGCCGCCTCCAAGCAGAGCCTGAACATAGCCAGCGGCTACGGCAACCGCTGCAGCAGCGGCTGTTGATGAATTTGCAGCAGGAGAGTTTGATGAGGAGGAGTTGCCAACACCACCGTTCATGTGGTTGCTTTTGGCTAAGGCATGATGATGGTGATGATGTTGGTGATGGTGTTGGTGATGTTGGTGATGGTTGTTGTTACTACTGTTGTTGTTGTTGTGTGAAGAAGAGTGTTGGAGTTGTTGTTGATTGTTGTAAGTGCTGTTCTGGTGTCGTTGTTGTTGCGGTTGTTGTTGTTGGTGTTGAGTCTGTTGTTGTTGTTGTTGAACCAGCTCGACATTTGACCTAGAAACATTATATACAATACACATAAGTTGACCGCCCCGAAAATCTTATTTCTCTTCTTTTTTATTTTACATGTTTTTGTTATTTTATTGTCATCTTTTTTTTGTTTATTTTTTTTTACAAGTTGTTGTATTTTTCAATTGTTTTTGTTGTAATAGGTTTCTTCTACAAGCTTAAAAAGATTTAAAAAAAAAAATTGTTTGCAACAGGACTAGTTCTTGCTTGTGATCTTTGGGGGGGTCTCTGCACTGCTTGCTTGCTTGCTTGAGATATCTTGCTTGCTTCGTTTCTTGCTTTCTTGAATTTTGTGCCTTCTTGCTTGCTCTCGGTTTCTTGATAACTTGCTTGTCTTTTCTTTTGTTTCTTGCTTGTCTTGGTTTCTTGATTGTCTCTTAGTTTCTTGCTTGTCTTGATTTGCTTTCATCCACTGAACTGCTTGTTCTATTTATTCCTTCTGCCACCTCTGTGTACATAGTGCATATATCGATAATTCGATGGATATTGGTTTTGCACTCGACGGCTGCCGATGAAAAACAAATGAGAAGCCAGAGGCGAATAGTAAAATTATCGATATTATATGTAGTGTTTATAAATTGTTCTAAATCGTTGTTGTTGTTGACTAAAGATTGTTGAATATTTTGTTTCTTATAGTTGTTTTCTCTCTTTGCTGTCTGTTCTTTGCTTTTAGTGTTTTAATATTATTTTTAAAGACACAAGAAAAAGCTTTCATTATCTCTATATTCCTCATTCTTTCTGAATTTATCAATTGCCCTGACATCGAAGTAATATCGAAGTAATTATAAGAATGTGTAATATATATAATTTTTCAACTTGTACACGCATTATATATAATGTATCTAGGATCTGTTCAACTTTTTATAACTTTTTTTCTGTTGAGTGTATGTTTGTTGTTGCTGTTGTGTTTGTGAGTGAGTGAGTAAGTGAATGAGAAGAGGGAGTAGAGAGAGAGAGATGGGTGGAGGTGGGGCCGAACGGGGTTAAAAAAAACCTGCCACCACCAATAAAAAAAAAAGCTTGTTCTCACAGTTTGTTGGCGCTGCTTTGTTGTTTTTCCCCCTTATTTTATATTTCTTGTTTTTTTTTAACTTTTTTGCGTCGTGAGTCACCCCGTTAAATGTGTGAGTGTATGTGTAAGTGTGTATTGGTATGTATATGTGTGTTGTATGCGCGCAACAAGATACCATTAGGGGTAGTCAGTACACACAGCCTTTAAAATTAAAAAAAAAAATTTACAATTGTTTTTCATAACTGCTTTTCGATATAAATGAATAAATATCTATATATTTATATATTTGATATTTGAAAACAAAAAGAATTATATATATAAATATAGTTTTAACCATAGATTAATGTAAATTCAGTTGGGTGTTTTTAATATATTTAAAATAAGATTTTATGTTTTCAAAATATATATGTTGTAGTTCATTTTTATTTCCTTTTTTCTTTTGTATATTTAGTCTCTCCAAAAGAGATTTAAAGGTTTATTTATATTATATATCAGACAAAAAAGAAGAGAGAAAAAAAGAAAAACCAACAAAAAATTAAGGAAAAGGAAACAAGAACAGTTTTAGAGCAAAAAAAAAAAAAACATTAAAAATAATATACAATGGGGAGTTTCATTTCATTTGAAAGTAAAAGAAACAAATACATGGTACAAATATGCTTTATTAATTAATTTTATATATATTTAGAGTATAAACTTTATTCTACTTTCCATTTAAACTTAATTTCTTTGTTAAGGACTTAAAAACATGCAATTGCTAGAAGGGATACCATCCGATTAATGCTCTAAAACACAAAAGTAACTCTTTACAGCAGGATGATGTATGTATGTACAGGATGCGAGCCTTGGTGCATTGTTGAAGGAGTTTGTGGTGTGTTGTGGTGTTTTGTGGTGTGTTGTATTGTGTTGTTTCAGATATGTGTGTGTGGGTTATTTATTTGATTTTAGTTCTACTTTCGACTGGGTTTAATTACGAAGTGTGTGTGTGTTTGTGTGTGTGTGCGTGGTTAATCCCAATGCGAGCGTTATAGTGTATAGGTATTCCAACCTTGTCACGCCTCCGAGATAGAGGTACCGTTATAGCTTAGTTCTTTTTCAGATAAAACGTCTTTAATAACACATAAAAAAAAGAGAAAATAAGCGCGTGGGTTAGTACAATTTTTGGAAATTTCGTTTCGCTTCGGTTTTATTTTGGGTACAAATTTGTTGAGTTTGAAGAGTGCGGGATAAAATAATATGTAATATGGATGGGTTTTTTTGGGTGTTTTTCTTTTTTGGAGGATATTTTGAAAAACATAAAATCATAACAAAAAAAACTACCAACGAACAAACGCGAGAAAAACAATTATAATTTTCTAACACAAAACACACTGAATTAACAATAATTAAATAACATGAAAATGCAGTTTTTCTTTCTCTTTTGTACCAGTTTAATTTATATTTTGAAAACAAATTTTGTTAAAAACTTTCATATAACAAAGCTCAAATCTTTATGTGTGGCATGACAAAGAGCATAGAGAAAGAGAGAGAGAAAGAGAGAGAGAAAGACAAAGAGAGAGAGAGAGAGATGGATGAACGAGAACTACTTGTATTTTTGTTTGTAATATTTTATATTAAAAAAAAAAATCACAGATCCAAAATTTTTAATATAATGCGTGCACAATGTCCGAAAACATTTCGGTAATTGAATATATTTCTATTTTGTATTAAAATGTGTAATGACAACAAATAAATGTGTGGAAATTTTGTTTATTGTTCATTTAAGGGAGATAGCAAAAAAGTAAGAATAATAAGTGTATACCCTTAAATTAAAAATCGTGTGGCACCTTAATTTTTTCTTTTTAATTTTCAGATTTAATTTAAAAATTATTTTTATATTGTATATATTTTAATACCAAATAAAGTTGTTCTTAAATTAAAATTTTAAGAAATCCTGTGCCACCCTTATGTAATTCTAGTTAATATTTCTTTATAATTTATGTTTAATTAGAATTCTTTAACAGCAAAGAGAGAAAAAGAAACAACTTCAAAATGAAATGCATATATTTGTAAACAAAATCTAATCAAAATATATAAAATAGATATGTATGTGTAGTGGGACACCCTAATGGCTGAGAAAATTTTGGACTTAAGCAGCGATTTCTCAATGTCAAAGCCTCTCGAATTTTCCCCCCATAAAATAAGAACTACTACACCCAGCATTTAATGCGTTGTAATCGATTTACTATTTACTGCTACTAAGCATTATTTAAGAATAGATACTAATTAAGCACGCGCCACGCCCATCAAAAACTGATCGATTTTTTCGGGCCTAGACATTGAGAACTCAACCCTTATTAGAGCTACTTAGTAAGATGTGCTTATTATTATAATTGTAATTATAATAATAATGATAAGAATAATAGTAATAATAATATATAAACAACAACAGCGAATAAAATATACAGGAATATATTGATTTTTTGTTTGATATATATTATTTTTTTTTTTGGTTTTGTTTTTGTTTTTGCAAAAACGAATTACAACAAAATTTGAAAAACACAATTTCTGCGCGGATTTTGTATCCGAGATTTAAAATAAAATCAACAAATACTAAATATAAAAACAAAAGTAAATATTTAGATATATATATAATATATAGATTGTGAGGAAAAGGAGGTAAAAAAACAATTTTCTTTTTTTTTTTTATGTTTAGCTTTTGAATTGGTTTGCAGTAGTGGGTAGTGGGGGGGAAATAGAGAATATAAAGTGCTACTATATAAAATGTAATGTGTACTTACAAATGGTTAGCATTCTGTCCCGCTGCCGAACGGACGAGTGGCGGTGGAGCATTACCACCACCACCGCTGTGACTGTTCACCGAGGACATGGAGATCGCAGGATTATTGTAGGAATACGGTTGACGGCTGCTGCCGCTCATCATTAGGTTATTCATGTGCTCACGATAGCTGCCCACGCGATTAGCATTTGCATGTGTCTGCTGGAAGGATTAAAAAAAAATAAATAAATTAATAATAATTTTCAAAATAAAACCTACAAAATCTATACAAAACGACACCCACATCTCCTCTAAGGAACCCTTGATTCTAGGAACTACAAATCTATACCATTATTGTCACACATTTTTCCCTGCTTAAATATTGATAATATTTTCCTTTAATTTCTTTGACCTAGTTTCCAATGCTATTAAAGACTTAAGATTGCAATTACTAATGCATACACATACTAAAGCAAAGTAGGCGGAAGTTAATTGCATCATTTAACTCAACCCAATATCGATTAATGAGCTCAAAGAAGCTGGGGTCGGAAAATTTTTTTTTTTGAAATTTGAAAGCTGGAATCGTTTGCCCATCGTTTGCCCATGTTTGCCCACCTTTTACTTTTTTTTGCCCACGTCCAGTTTTGAAAATATTCGACTTTGAAAATTTGCATCATTTTTCGAAAAAACAAAAGTTGAATTTTTTCAAATTTTTTTTTGGAAATCGCAATAACATCGTTTGCCCACGTTTGCCCACCCTTTAGAATTTTGAAAAAACTTCAAGTTTAGAAAATTTTCAAAATTGTACTGGGAAATTTTGAATTTTAAAATTTTGAAAACTGGAATCGTTTGCCCATTCGTTGCCCATGTTTGCCCACCCTTTACTTTTTTTTGCCCACGTCCAGTTTTGAAAATATTCAACTTTGAAAATTTTTCAAAATTATAACGTTTGCCCACCCTTTAAAACTTAATATTTTTAACAAAAAACGATTGCCCACCTCTTAAAACTAAATAAAATCGTTTGCCCACCCTCTAAAATTAAATATTTTTAACAAAAAACGATTGCCCACCTCTTAAAACTAAAAAAAATCGTTTGCCCACCCTCTAAAATTAAATATTTTTAACAAAAACTGATTGCCCACCTCTTAAAACTAAATAAAATCGTTTGCCCACCATTTAAAATTAAATATTTTTAACAAAAAATGATTGCCCACCTCTTAAAACTAAATAAAATCGTTTGCCCACCCTCTAAAATTAAATATTTTTAACAAAAACAGATTGCCCACCTCTTAAAACTAAATAAAATCGTTTGCCCACCCTTTAAAATTAAATATTTTTAACAAAAAACGATTGCCCACCTCTTAAAACTAAAAAAAATCGTTTGCCCACCCCCTAAAATTAAATATTTTAAACAAAAAACGATTGCCCACCTCTTAAAACTAAATAAAATCGTTTGCCCACCCTTTAAAATTAAAAAATTTCGTTTGCCCACCCCCTAAAATTAAATATTTTTAACAAAAAACGATTGCCCACCTCTTTAAACTAAATAAAATCGTTTGCCCACCCTTTAAAGTTAAAAAATTTCGTTTGCCCACCCCTTAATTTTAAGTATTTATATTAAAAAACGTTTGCCCAACTCTGAATATTAAATAAAATCACTTAATGTGTTATGTTTACAATTGTTAAATCCGTAATATCGGTTGCAAAAAGTACTTGTAACGAAAAAAAAAAACATATTACAAAATTATTATAAAATCTGGTTTGGAAATGGTTCAAATTGCTACGTTATAAAAATTCTACTAAAAATTTTACAATTCAATTTTTCCGTTTTTTAATTTTGCATAAAACATACCAGCTATGGCCGAAAAACATCTAACGACAGGTGCCAGGACAAAAAAACACTACTGCCTCAAACATGTTGCAGACAGAGTGGCGGCCATACGATATAAGTCGTTGTTGCAGAATTGTGATCCCGAAACTTTATGATTTCTACCGCCTATCTGACGCCAAAAATTTAGTAGAATTATTCTTATAAAGTTTGGCGCCTCAATGATCGCAACCGAGAGTCGTCTGGGAAGACTTCATGTGGCGCCTTTACGTCTATTATTTAGTAGTATTTACATATATAGATCCCTGTATTCTAATATGCAGATATTCCCATCTATATACATGGCGCCAGCAAGTCCTTGCCTCAGGTAGTCCCACAATTTGTATGGTCTGGCGTACGCAGGCAGAGGCGCCACATGAAGTCTTCCCAGACGACTCTCGGTTGCGATCATTGAGGCGCCAAACTTTATAAGAATAATTCTACTAAATTTTTGGCGTCAGATAGGCGGTAGAAATCATAAAGTTTCGGGATCACAATTCTGCAACAACGACTTATATCGTATGGCCGCCACTCTGTCTGCAACATGTTTGAGGCAGTAGTGTTTTTTTGTCCTGGCACCTGTCGTTAGATGTTTTTCGGCCATAGCTGGTATGTTTTATGCAAAATTAAAAAACGGAAAAATTGAATTGTAAAATTTTTAGTAGAATTTTTATAACGTAGCAATTTGAACCATTTCCAAACCAGATTTTATAATAATTTTGTAATATGTTTTTTTTTTCGTTACAAGTACTTTTTGCAACCGATATTACGGATTTAACAATTGTAAACATAACACATTAAGTGATTTTATTTAATATTCAGAGTTGGGCAAACGTTTTTTAATATAAATACTTAAAATTAAGGGGTGGGCAAACGAAATTTTTTAACTTTAAAGGGTGGGCAAACGATTTTATTTAGTTTAAAGAGGTGGGCAATCGTTTTTTGTTAAAAATATTTAATTTTAGGGGGTGGGCAAACGAAATTTTTTAATTTTAAAGGGTGGGCAAACGATTTTATTTAGTTTTAAGAGGTGGGCAATCGTTTTTTGTTTAAAATATTTAATTTTAGGGGTGGGCAAACGATTTTTTTAGTTTTAAGAGGTGGGCAATCGTTTTTTGTTAAAAATATTTAATTTTAAAGGGTGGGCAAACGATTTTATTTAGTTTTAAGAGGTGGGCAATCTGTTTTTGTTAAAAATATTTAATTTTAGAGGGTGGGCAAACGATTTTATTTAGTTTTAAGAGGTGGGCAATCATTTTTTGTTAAAAATATTTAATTTTAAAGGGTGGGCAAACGATTTATTTAGTTTTAAAGTTTTGTTAAAATATTTAATTTTAGAGGGTGGGCAAACGATTTTTTTTAGTTTTAAGAGGTGGGCAATCGTTTTTTGTTAAAAATATTTAATTTTAGAGGGTGGGCAAACGATTTTATTTAGTTTTAAGAGGTGGGCAATCGTTTTTTGTTAAAAATATTAAGTTTTAAAGGGTGGGCAAACGTTATAATTTTGAAAAATTTTCAAAGTTGAATATTTTCAAAACTGGACGTGGGCAAAAAAAAGTAAAGGGTGGGCAAACATGGGCAACGAATGGGCAAACGATTCCAGTTTTCAAAATTTTAAAATTCAAAATTTCCCAGTACAATTTTGAAAATTTTCTAAACTTGAAGTTTTTTCAAAATTCTAAAGGGTGGGCAAACGTGGGCAAACGATGTTATTGCGATTTCCAAAAAAAAATTTGAAAAAATTCAACTTTTGTTTTTTCGAAAAATGATGCAAATTTTCAAAGTCGAATATTTTCAAAACTGGACGTGGGCAAAAAAAAGTAAAAGGTGGGCAAACATGGGCAAACGATGGGCAAACGATTCCAGCTTTCAAATTTCAAAAAAAAAATTTTTCCGACCCCAGCTTCTTTGAGCTCGATTAATGGCCTCCTATTAACCATTTAAAGGCCTCTCTCGTTCTATTTTTACAATTGAATGTGATTACGTTTTACGTTTTATAATTTCGATTTGATAAGATTGCCATTTACTCTCAATATCAAGTTCAATAGCACCAAGTTTACTCATAATAATCTATATTAATGTACAAAAAAAAGGAGAAAGAGCGAGATTTTTTATAAGCCCCGAAAACATGAAATCGAAAAATTCCTCAGTAATGGAAATAATATTAATATCTTCATTAATGAAACTATGATTGGGTTTTAGAAATGAAATACTCTACAAGAAACTAATTTCATGAAGCCGAAGTGTATATACCCTTTGCAGTTTGCAATTTAATTATAGGATAGAATCGGAAATCGATCATAACTTCAAATATTAGCTTTATTTAAATAAATATTTTTATATAGGAATTTTTTTGATTAATCAAAGTTTTAAAAACTCATAACTCAGTCAAAAAAGCATTAATTTCAATTCGGAAAGCAGTTCTATGTTAGTTTTTATCAGGTTTATAAATCTGCATACTCTGTTTAAAATGGTAAAAAATGGATTTTTTTGTAAAATTTTTGTCAATTTAAATCAAATAAAATGTTTAAAAAATTTTTGAAATTTTTTTTCTGCCGAAAATAGCTAGAAAGATTTGCCTATTGATGCTGATCAAGAATATATATGATTTATAGGGTAGGAAATGACTCCTTCACTTAGTTTTAGGCTTCTGACCGGAAATATAATACCCTGCAAGAGTACTAAAAATTAAAATTAATAATAACTTTAACTGAATTTTACTTAGGCAGAACTTTAGTAATAGACATTACATTAAATAGAACGAGGTACTTTTTAAATTAAACAAGCAAAACTACCATTTGTAGACTTATTAAGAATTTAAATTAAAGTTTTTAAATTAATTCTTGAAGAGCTCAATATTAAAACTATACAGAAATCCACCTAAAAGCAGCTTCACTGTATTTACAACAACTACAACAAGAATAACAGCAACATTAACATCAACAGGTTGTTGGCAACATGTTAGACAGAGAGAGAGAGCGAGAGAAAGAGAGGACCGACTTTTGTCTAGGAGGAAGTCTAGGAGCGGGAGCGAGATGCTGGAGGTGGTGGAGCCACCGACTTATACTCTCCTCTATGCACACACAACCGATTCCGATACCGATGCCGATGCCGAGTTGACCTAGTTTCCAAAAGCTGACGTCGCTGCTGCTGCGCTGTTGTTGCCAAACTGTGAAAAAATCTGCTAGCTAACACACACACACACACACACACTGTAAGAGCGAGAGAGAGATATTATATAGCTCAGCTCATGTAAGTTTGTAAGCGAGGCCAACTAAACATGGCCATGCACTCCACTCCACTCCACTCCACTGCCTCCCTCCATCATAAATAAATAGCTCCCTCTCTCTCTCTCCACCGCTCCTCCTCCCTTTAAACATTCCCCCGATCGTTGCCTTTACCAAGTTCTTTGAGCCAAGATGAACGAGGCAAAAGCAGAAGCAGAAACTGAAGACGGAACCAACTGAGAGTGAGGTAAAAGTCTTTGGCTTAAGCTTTTCCCCATTGGCAAACACAACAAACAAACATGTTTTAAACACAGCAAAAATTCCTCCAAGCGGAGTGACCTAATTTCCAAAATACACTATGGGGGAGATTTTAAACAGTACACTCTGACAATAGTGAAAATAATTAGGAAATATACTACATAAATATTACTATATTCTCTTCGGACTTTAGTAAAGTAACAAAAAGGGCTTATTTCTTATCAAATCCATCTCCCAAATCTAATCTTTAAAAGGTCATCACTCTCAGAGCTAGCAACCTTCAATAGGTTTTCTCTCCAGTTTTATAATATAACCCCGAACTGTTAATATATATTATTTACTATTTATATATATACTTTTTTTAACTATGTATATATATATATTTATGAAATATATTTCATTATAAGGTCTACCATTGGGTGTGTTTATTTCTAAAAATCTTTCCATTACCTAAATTAAGGAGTGTTTACAGCCCAAAATCTAATACCTATGTATATAGGTCAAATCTTTGCCTTATCTGTAAAGCCACAACAAAAACAAAGAATACAGAAATCATATCTCCAAAATGAGTCATCATTCAATTCAGAATATTCTAGTTACAAATAAAAAATTATCTAGAACACGTGCTAATAATAATTAGATTACTCACAATCTAATTTCATACATTCTCTTTAAATCTTTAAATATAAATTTAATATTTAATACGATTCCATTGAAATTATTTTGATAATTATTCAAAATATACAAAGTTAATAAACTCAAGCTATATATATATTATTTATCGGTTGTTTTAAAGGTCATTGAACGGTTTAATTTCGGTATAGCTTATGGCTTAAAAGGAAATCTGTCTAAACAAATAACAGTAATTATACACTCAGCTTAAAAAGCTGGTATTAGTTTATTATTTCTAACTATCTATAGCAATATAGATTATATATAGACGTCTTAAAGGCTTTTAAAAGAAAGTAAATATAACCAAAGATCATAAACTTTTCTATTTAAGTTTATAATTATTAACCATCCATAATAATGCAGATCATATTTAGAAAATTCAACAAGGTTCGAAAGGCTTTTAAAGTGATTACATTAAACCTATGATCAGATTCTCAATGTAAATAAAATAAGTAATAACTATTATCTCAAATTTTGAGAAAGTGTTTCCTTATCAAAGACTATATAAACTCGGTTTGACAATCGTTAATACCTTTCCCTATATAAATCTATCTATTTAAACCTCTAAAACGATCCTCTCCATATAATATCTATATAAATACCCCTTGTTAAAAATGATCCTCTAAAAATATAATTCTCCCCTGGGACTCACCATCATCTGGGCATGAAGCTGCAGGTTACTCTGTCCGGACATCCAACCGCTGCTGGCCAGCGCCTGAACGGTGGCCTGCGATAGCATACGGTTATTGCTCTGCGATTGGGAGAGCATTGCCGCCGATGCGGCTGCCGCTACCGCTGCCTGTGAGTTGAAGGCCGCTGCCGCTGCTGCTGCGGCCTGGGATGCCCCAAAGCTATTGGCAGCATTGGGTACACCGCCCCCGCCGCCACCTCCACCGTTGGCATTGGCCGCAGCGGCCGCTGCGGCTGCGCGTTGCTTCATCAGATGCTGCTGTTGGGCTGCCGCAGCTGCTGTCACTGCTGAGGCATGCTGCTGCTGTTGCTGCGACTTGGACTGCACCTGACCGCCGCCAGAGGATGAGGAATTGCTCAGTCCACTGGCATTGTTGCCGCCTCCCGAGCCCGATCCCGAACCGGAGCTTGAGCTTGTTGTTATCTTTGGCGGTGGTGCCGAGGGCTGGCGTGTCCAATTGACCGAATTATTGACATTAGCACGATTGCCAATCAGGAGATTCGAATCGACCACCTTGCTGGGCCAGTAATCCTCAAATTCGGTCCCATTGGGGAAGTAACTCTTGATGTCAGTCAGCGAAATGACGGCCACATTCTCGCTGGAGAAGAGCTCATTACGAATGCCCTGGACCTTGCAGCAGAACTTCAAATAGGCCAAATCCCAGCCATTAAGGAGTTCAGCCTTTGTCTTCAAATTCTCCGTTTCGCCTTCAAAATAGAAGAGCGGTACAACTTGCTGGCTATTCCGTACTGTATACGGGACAACAGATTCCTTATTGATCCGTATGAAGCCACATTTCTCCGATGGTGTCTTGCTGCCGGAGACCAATTTGCGATAGCAAATATCCAGAAATTGATAGAATTTACTGGCATCGCTTAAACGCACAACCAGATCCTTTTGGGTGAAAATATCACGTCCAAATTCACCATCACAATGCTTGTGATTGATCTCAATAAAGAGACGGGCTTCGGCATCCGTTATATAGTAGCTACGGACGCATGTGCAGCTGGAGTAGATATCCGGATGCAGGCAGTTGAGGTATTTGCCCAGCAGCTTCAGTTCAATCATGCGCACCGAGCAGTATTTCTCCGATTGCCGGTAAATATACGGTATGGAGACTTTACCAAATTGGGCCCAGCCAAAGTGTCCCATAATGGATTCTTCGTCGCAGGGTCCGGATTTTGTTTCCGCTGCGGCGGCTGCCTTAGCGGCATCTGCAGTGGCGCCATTGGGACGGACGCCATTTACGTTGCCGGTTAAGGCCGGTACCACTTGCATGGTGCCATTGGGTAGCTTCTGATGGCGCGACAGGTAGCTCATGATATTCGTCTGACCGTTACCATTGGTAATTGGCGGTTGCATTTGGCCAGCATTGCCACCATTCGAGTGCTGCTGCATTGCCGCTTGACGGGATGCCTGCTGGGCGGCCTGTTGCTTTTGTTGTTCCTTCATTTTGGCGGCCAACTCGCGGATTTCGCCTTCATCGGGACGCTCCTGTTTGACAGGCGGAGCAGGTGGACCGCCGAAGCCGATGCCATGAACGGGCAAAGTTTGGCCATTGGCATCGATGACGCTGGTGATCTGCACATCCTCGCTGGCCATGGCTTCCTCTCACTCTCTCTCTCTCTCTCTCTCACGGTCTCTCTCTCTCTCACCACTCCTCTCTCTCGCTCTGTCTCGTTGATTATCTCCTTTTGCTTCCTTTCGATTTATCTGGATTTTCTTTTCTTATTGATTATTTAGTTTGTTGTGGTAGTTGTTTTCACAGTTTGATTTCAGGGGCTATATGTAAAAGAACACATTTATATTTATTTATTAATTAATTGTTTAAACTTGGTAATATAATTTGTATTTAAATTTGGATGATGAACAAAAAAAATAAACAAATAAGATTGGGAGAGCACGCACGCACGCACTCACGCACGATGTACTGTGGAGAGAGCCGGCATAAATGCGCTCTCTCTTTATGGTCACACTGGCCCGGCTCACCACTCACTCACACACTCGCATGTACACGCGCTCACACAGTAAAACGTTTATGTATGCAAGTTTTATGCCTATGTGTGTGCAAGGCGCGCACTTTTCAGTTGTTGTTGCTGTTGTTTTTTGTTGTATATAATTATTCATACATTGTACATTATATGTATGCTTTTACATATTGCTTACACTTACACATACAAGCGCTGACTGCATGTCTGCAGTGTATTGCAAAAAAATTGAATTATTTTAGGCATTTGTAGTTTTAATATGATTGCTGCTGCTGCTGCTGCCGCTTTCTGTTAATGCTGTTGTTGTTATTGTTGTATTATATATTCCTCATTTGCTGGGGCACAAGAAAAAAAATGTAAAACAAAATAGCGTCGTTTTTCCACCGCACTGTTACTTTATCTCGCGTTTAGCGGTTTTTATTTTGCGACTTTTTCACTACACCCGCTTCTCAATCGCTCTGTGTGTTTCGCGTGTTTCGGTTTTTCGCTTTTTTCGGTTTCTCGGGTTTTTCGCTATCTAGCTCTTCCGACGCCGACGTACGTCCGCCCGTCTCCGCAATACAAACGAGTGTGATCGTTGTTACGAAAATTATTTCAACGAAGTCAACTGAAAAATGTGTGCGCACACAGACACACACACTGGCGGGGCGCACACGCATACTTTTGCGATGTGCGGGGAACGCCGGCGTCGGCAGCGACGTTGGCGGCGGATGCAGAGCGCAAAAGAAAAACGGAAAACACGAACACCAAGTGAAAACAACAACAAAAAACCTACATAGATGTCGCCGCTGCCGGCGTCGCTGCAACGCTGCCACCGAGCATTTTGCCGAATTGTTGTTCGTGTCCCCCTTTTGTGCATTTCTTCCTCCGCCCGCCACCTATTTCTCACTCAATCTGTCTCTCTCCTTCCTACACACTATGTGTTGTCTTCTCCCTCAGCCCCTCCCCCACCTTTTAGCCAAGAGACTAGCTCTAAGCTGCGACGGCGACCGCGACAGCGACAGCAACAGCGACGTCGGCCGAGTGTTACAACTTACTGTGGCTCAAACATTTGTATGCAATCCGGCGCTTAACGGGATCTCTGGATCGATTCACTAAATGTTAAATAAATTAGTGGAATTTTTTTCAAATTAAAATTCAAGAAAATTACCAAACACGTGATGATACGACGAAATGGAAGCACTGAATGACTAGGACTTTTTCGATGTGCACATGGCTACTGTGATTTTCTGCAAAAATATCGTTTAATTTATTATGCCATGGGAATATCGCATATCGATAAAAGTTAACCTCAAAATTAGCTTGGCTTTCATCAAATACATGTAATATTTTATATACATACATACATGTATGTAAAATTTTTAATACTCAGCAATGGGTTTGTTTTAAAAGGGTTTTTTTTTTTTTAAATTCATATTATCTTTTACAAGTGTAAACTTTCCCTTGGCTTGGACCATTGACTATGGTATTTTGTCCACTGTGCAAGGAAAGCTTAAGCCAAGCTATACACACACAGAGACCGAGAGCTGCTCTGCCAGAGATTATTGGTAATAGTATTGGTGTTGGTGTCGGCGGTGTGATGATGATGATGTGGCAGTGGTAGTGTGGCCGTGGTGTGGGTGGCTTTCTGTGGGCGGAGGCGTGGCGGGGGCGTCTCTATTTTGGCAGTCAGCAAGCAAGACCCTGCTTAGCATTCGATGGGGCCGCGGCCACCTCTCCCCCACCCCTCCCACTCTAGCACCCGCGTTTCCAATCACCCCGTCCCTTTCGCTTCTCGTCGAAATGCAAGAAGTTTTCGGTATTCGCGCGGGCTCTAAGGCCTCAAGACAGGCCCCGTTCCAGAGCGGAGAAAACCGGGAGCGAAACGAGCGCCGCACACGAAGTTTGCCGACAACGACGAGCAGCTGTCGTGTGAACATCGGGTGTATCGGTGTGGTGTCCGCGTATCCGTGAGTGTGGGTATGCCTTTGTGTGGGTGCCAGCTGCGCAGCGCCGAAAGGTCGGCTCGACTCTAAACATTTACCCAAAATTTAATTAGCTCTCGGGCTCGGGTCCAAGAGTCCAAGTCGAATTCCATTTGGCTCGCTATGACACGAGTTAACTGGCAGTTAAAAGGCGTCCCCCCGACAGGTACAGTTGGATCCCACAGGGGTCCTACGATATTGTAATCGTTTGTTGAACTTGGAAGCTGTACATCTTAAAATTTGGGAAATTGAGAAGCTTTACCAGAAGTACAGAAGGATCTAAACTGGTTTCTCATAATACTAGTCAATTTCGAACTCCATTATACCCTGATTTGTGGAATTCCCAAAGTACAGTACTTCTTGGGAAAAGTACAGTACTGATCAAAACCCATTAGATGTTTACTCAATTGTTTGTACTAAAAGTATTAACTTTCTTTATTTCGTTGAACAGCAGGTGTTCTGCCCATTAGAAATATTTAGTCCTAGGAAAATTTAATATTTCCAGAGAACCGAATCGATATCGATAAACCTTTTACTATATTTCTTTCTCTTTCTAATTATATAAATTGTAAACTGAGCATTTGCCTAGCAACTAAGTTATACTTTCTTCTATTATTCCCGATAAGTCGACATATTTATTATCACAAAGGGTACTCGAGGGTCGAGCAATGGAAAAAGAAACTTATTCATACATAGTTGGGGAATACTCTCTCGGCTCTCGCTCACAGAATTGGTTTCAGGTGTCACCTGGACATTGTGTGACCCATCTCCCAGTGCGTGTCTTCTTTCCTTTCTCTACGCATTCCCCTCCTTCCATTCCCATTCCCATTCCCATTCCCATTCAGTTCCGTTCTCTTCTGCCTCATTTGGTAGTTACGGGGGTTTTTTTGATTTTGGTGTTTTGCTTTGCTAATTAGTCAGCTGTGTATGGGTCTTTCCCGTTTTTGTTTTTGTTTTTAAATGTTAGTTTCTTTTTGATTGCGGGGCTTTTCTTTTCGTAGCTTGTGAAAACCACTTAAAAACTGGGAAGATACATACATATGTACATATGTATGTATGTATATGTATTTATAAGATGTACATGCATATACATACACATACATAACGATAAGGCCGCGAACGTCGTCAGTCGTCATCGATGGTACCAATGAGGAGGTTGGGACGGAAATGAGGAAAAGAGAAGAAAATAGAAGGAGGCAGAGGAAGAAAGTGCTAGAGAGAGAAAGAGAGACGCCAAGCTCTGCGAGAGGCCCCGTTTCGTGCGCGCTTTGCTATGTAAACATGGCTAAACATGTGCGCCTGCATGCGTGTGCCTGTCAGTGTGTATGTATACATACTACATACATATGTATGTACATATGTATGTACATACATATGTATATACTATTCGCTTAACCATCGGTGGGCGGTTAACGGTACAGCCGAGTCGGTGGGCGTTGTTCGGCAGGACAGCCGAGACCGGTGGCCCTGCCAATTGCTTTGATTTTGGCAAGCTTCACGATTGCGCAGCCAAAGGACCAGAGAAGGATGGAACAAGGCAGGGCAGGGCAAGGATATTGCCATAGAGGAGGTGGACGAAAAGGAGGAGAGTACGAGTACGAGGGTATTGAAAAAGGAGCAGAAAGGGCCGCACACAAAGGGCTTAGTCCTTCGAGGGCTGGCTCGAGCATGGCTCTAACCTTTAACCTAAGACCAGGGTTGAATTCAAGCACCTCTAAGAGGTTAAATCCGGAGATCATCTAAGTTAAATCTTTTATTTATATCGATTTTATTCTTATAATATTTGAAGAAATATTTTCCGCAAAAATATTAAAATGTTGAAATTAATAAAGCTATTATTTTCTATTATTTTATTAAAGTGATTGGCATTTTATAAAAATAAATATAAAAAAATATATAAAAAGGGGAATATTCTTGATCAGCATCAACATTGTTATTGTTATATTATATTTGTAAGGGTATTTGAACTTCAGATTGTTGAAGTCAGCTTATTTGTTTTTAAATTCTTTAAAAACCTAGGAAGACTCCGCTGAACACTCTCCACTTTCCTCTCTTCAAATACTCCAGCTTCCCCTTTCTCTTTCTCTCCCACATTCTGGCTCCCCCACTCCATCAATCTCTTCTTAGTCCCCCCTTCACCGCTCCTGGCCAATCAATGGACCGGACATCCGTTGGACTCTGCCTCCACACCGCATCCCATCCCCACCCACTCCATTCCACCTACCCGTCACCCCGCGCCCCCTCACGCTTTTCCCCTCTGTGCTGCACTTTGCCTTCTGCCTTCTGCTTTGGGCTAATGCGCCCGCAGCACCTGAGTGTATCTGTGTGCCTGTGTCTGTTTGTGTGAGTCGTCGCCCACTCTCTTCTTGACGCCTCTTTGGCCACCTTTAACCTTTATGATATTGAATTAACACTTGTGTTAGCAAAGTTAAATTGAATTATGTACATATGTATGTATTATAATGGTAACTTAAATTGTAAAATTTTAAATAAACAAAATTATAAGCTTTTAATTATTAATTATTACAAATTAATAAATGTATTAAATGAGATTGTTTTTTAAAAAAATAATGTTATATACTTCTTTGCATTAGCATCACTAAGGGTTAACTGTTGCTTTATTACAACCATCAACTGCATATGTATGTATCTTTTACATACATACATATGTATGTAGTTTTTCTTTAGTTATTGTTGCTTGCTTTTTTTCTATGTAGGGGAACCCTTCTGCAGCTGCTGTTACTTCCTTCATTATCAGTTTTTTGCATCTTCTGCTTATCATTTTCTGTTTGTTGTTATTGTTTTTGTGGCTGTTGCATTTGCAATGCATGCACATGAGACAAGGGAAAGAAAGAAAGAGTTCGATGAAGAAGAAATGCTTACAAAGTTTGCAACACACACACACACACACACACACACACTAGTGCAATCGTAGAGAAATGCACACTCATGCAACATTTAGTTGGCTGCCTTTTTATGCACTTTCATTCGCCTGCTGCTGCAGTTGCTACTCTCTCTCTCTCTCTTGCTCTTTTCCTCTAGCCCTGTTGCTCGCGCTTTCTCTCTTCCACTCCCTTTGTTGGTCTGTCTCTCTCCCACCCACGTCCCTCCACATCCCACCACACTCGTTTTCCCTTTTCTCACCGAGCAGCTGACATTTTCAGCCCTTGGGAACACTTCCCCTTGTAGCTCCACTTCTCACCTCTCCTTTCGACCCTTTTCCCATGCCACATGTGCAAGAGTGCAATGAAAATGCCTTTTTTACTGTAAGTTTTCATCGTATTTGTCATTCAGCACACAAAAAGTGCATTGCTATAGCTGCATGTACATGTATTTATTTTCTCTTTGTC